AAACTGTAATTATCTTCTAAGCAGTGAATCAACATAAAAAATGCTACCCATTAGCAAATGCAGTCTTCTATTACATGCCACTATATGACCTGACTTTAAATGTTTCAGTCTGTCCTTGGTAATTGAAGGTATTTAGTTTGGTGCAGAAAGCTTGGCTAAATACTACAGATGCCAAATATCTGAAATATTCTATTTTATAAAGTGCCTACTTGGCTGCCGGAAGATAAGGATGGTCCCAGTGGCCTAGAATACTTGTCTTGGTATTAGAACATATGAAGTCTGCCCTGGAACAGTGCCCGATTTATGTAGCTGTTTAAAATTCACCCACAGAGGCAGTCTCTGTTGACCTGAGGTTCACAACCACTTTTTCCCACCTTTGGAAGTATCTTTACAAAGTACTGTTAAATCAGGCAAATATATAGAGGTCAGAGTTTAACAGTAGTTACCAGGGCAGAAGGGAGGGGAAAAAAGGGGACTCTTTGGTTTAGCTAGCCTTGAGTTTCTGTTAATGGGAATATACAGCAATGGGTGTTGGTGATGATTGTACAACATGGCTGATATAATTGGCTTCATTGAATTGTACAAGTGAAAAATGTTGAATTGGCAAATGTTGTGCTACCTATATTTTGACAATTACAACATGGACTCCTGTAAAGACATCCTACAATCTTTTATTCCTCTTTAATCCCTCAGTCCCAATGTTGGATATCTAACTTGGAGTGAAGACAAGTAGATAAAAGAAATGATAAGAAAGAAATGAGTCTCAATATTGTGTTCATTTTTCATGAGTCCTGTTAATGAATATAGTGCAAAAAGTTATATAACTGGGCTAAATACATTTTTCTGTACCAGAGAGGACGACATTGGTGTTTCAGCGGTAGAATTCTCACCTTCCATGTAGGAGACCCGAGTTCAATTCCTGTCTGATGCATCTCTCACTCATCAGTAGAGGTTTGCATGTTGCTGTGATGCTGAACAGGTTTCAGTGGAGCTTCCAGACTAAGATGGACTAGGAAAAAAGGCCTGGCTATCTTCTGAAAATCAGCCAATGAAAAGAAGACGCGTGGATCACAAAGGGCCAATCCACAATTGATCATGAGGATGGCACAGGACCAGGCAACGTTTTGTTCCATTCTGCATGGAGTCACCATGAGTTGGGGGCTGACTCAACATCAGCTAACAACAATATTACTGGAGAGAAGATAGATTATTGTCTAGTCAGAAAACAGAACTTGCCCTGGTGACCAATATATCCAAATCTATGGAGGGTAGGTGGTTTCATGTAGACCTTTCCAGGTGTCCTGGCCTTTCATATAGAGTATATCCAACGCATGTTTGGTTATCATAGTCACATGATCCTTGGGACATTAAAGAATGTTCATGTACTTCCCAAATTAGAGCCCATTTCCTACAGTGAGATCAACCTCATGGTTATGGTTATGGTGGATGTAAATGGCAAGAAAGCCTTGTGTCTGGTCCTACTTTGAACTGTCCATGACTTTCTTAACACCAGTCCCAAATGTGGACAAGGGTCCTTTGCCGAAAGCATACTTCAGCACATAGCTGCTTGTTGGGTTTGTGCCACAGTCAAGATGGATCAGGCTTTCTAGGGCCACTGCATTTTAACTACTCTAACAAATCCATGTTTTATAGGCCATAACATTGTTATAGAGCAAGCAGAAAGAATATTGCAAAAGCTTTAAAAATTTACAGCAAACTGTACCATGTGGTAGTGGTTATGCTGATAAATTACTCATTTCCTACACATTTCTTACCATTCGTTCCTGTTGACCCTAAGTTAGTTCCTTTATTTTTTATTCATAATATTAATATTTGCATTATAAATTTGTATTAATATTTGCCATGAATATAACCTATCTAGAAAAAGTCAGTAGGTTGACAGATACAGACTTGTTGGATTTTTTTGTATTCTAGAAATACTAGTAGCAGCTGTTTGGTGGTCTTTATTTTATATTCAAACTAAATTCCTACTCCTGTTGAAAAATTGTCATTAATCTATATTCTTCTATATATCGTATGTATATACCCACTACCGTCGAGTCAATTCTGACTTGTAACAACCCTATAGGACAGAGTAGAGCTGCCCCATGGGTTTCCAAGGCTGTAAATTTTTAAGGGAGCAGACTGCCGCATCTTTCTCCTGTGGAGTGGCTGGTGGGTTTGAACCACCGAACTTTCAGTGAGCAGCCAAGCGCTTTAACCACTGCACCACCAGGGCCCCTCTTCCTATGTGTGTGTGTATGTATGTGTATATATATATATATATATATATATATATATATATATATATATATATATATATATAAAAAAAACCAAACTCGCTGTCGAGTCGACTCCGACTCAGAGCAACCCTATAGGACAGAGTAGAACTGCCCCATAGGGTTTCCAGGGAGCAGCTGGTGGATTCGAACTGCTGACCTTTTGGTTAGCAGCCAAGCTCTTAACCACTGCACCACCAGGGCTCCTATGTATATAGAAGAATCCAATATAATATTCTATATATTCTAAAATGTAAATTTTATTCTTCTATTTTTCTAACAAAACCCATAAACATGGATTTGGGTGGTAAGGTAACCAGTTTTTTTAACCAGCCAAAAAGAAGCAGATTTCTTCATTAATCACTCTCCATGGCAAAACATTTCATTTCTATAAACCTGGGATCTCATTAAGGGAAAAAAAATTCCGATACCGCCTTGTCACTGAAAAAGATTGAAATTTGGGTGCTCCACCAAAATAACTCCTGAAAGTTTAAACTTCATGGAGGACCTTTTTGGAACCAATATCATATTTAAGTATTATGAGTATTACAGTGACCTTTGACTTTGCAGATATTCTTTTCTTATATCCTATTCTAAACGCTAACAGACCCATGTTTAAAAAATAGAAAAATTGACTCAACGGCAACAGTTTTTTTTTTAATAAAACAATAAGAACTGAGGAGCGTGCTTCTTAGATCAATCAAGTATACGAGACCAAATGGGCAACACCTGCCTAAAAGCAGAAGGCAGAAAGGGTCAGGAAAACTGAGTGGATAGAAATGGGGAGTCTGGGATGGAAAGGGGGAGAGTGTTGATACATTGTGGGGATTGCAGCCAATGTCACGAAACAATTTGTGTATAAATTTTTGAATGAGAAACTAATTTGCTTTGTAGACTCTCACTAAAGGCACAATAAAAAATTATTTTTTTTAAAAAAAGAGAGAGATGAAGTCTGATACATTCTACAACATGATGAACCTAGAAAACATTATGGTGAGTGAAATAAGTCAGTCACAAAAGGACAAATATTATATGGCCTCACTTACATAAAATCAGCAAGATATAGAAACCAAAGATTATTAGTCGTTACCAAGGGTAGGTGGGAGGGGAAGAGAAAAGGGGAGTTTTTGCTTGGGGGACACTGAGTTTACGTTAATGGTTGTAGAATAATTAGGAACAGGATAGGGGTAAGGTTATGCAACATGAAGAGTGTAATAATGTGATTGAATTGTGCATGTAGAAACTGATGAATTTGCAAATGTTTTGTAGTGTATATTGCACCGTAATAAAAAACATTTTTTTTAAAAAAAAAATCACCTGGGGACCTCGTTAAAATGTAGATTCCAATTCAGTGTTTCTGGGGTGGAAATGCAAATTCTCAGTAGGGTTTGAACCAGAATGAACCGATTGGAAGCTCTGGTAAAAAGTTGAATTGGCAAAAGTTGTGTGCTAGACATATTTACAGTGACCAAAAAAAAAAAAGAAGTAGCTGCTGAGCCTGTTTATGTACAGCCAGACATCTCGTGGGATGTGGTTCCTTGGTTTGGAGGTTTAGGGTCATGGTTTTACAGGATGTCCCAGTTAATTGGCTTAAAAATGTGTTCAGTGCTTCTCTGTTCTACCTCCTAGTTCATTGAGTAGTGTCTGGGGTCTTAAAAGCTTGCAAGCAGCCATCCAAGGCACAACAATTGGTCCTATTTGCCTGGAGCGGCAGAGGACAAAGGAGAGTCAGGAAAAAGGAGGAAATGGAACGTGTGGCAAATTGCCTCCGTGAACAGCTGCCTCCTTTGCCATGGGACCAGAAGAACTGGATGGTGCCCAGCTACCATTACTGAACATTTTGATCAAAGATTCTATAGAAGAATCCTGATCAAAAGGGAGAGAAGGTAGAACAGAATTTCAGATTGTCATGGAATCCAGGTTTTCTGGAGTCATGGAGGCTGGATGAAACCCTGAATCTATTGCCCTGAGATAATCTTTAAACCTTAAACCAAAAATATCCCCTAAAGTCTTTTAAATCCAAACACTAGTGTTGCTTAACTAGAAAGAATGTCTGCCTTGAGCATTATACTCTAAGATCTATCTATATGGGATCAAATTGACAACAGCAACTCAAAAGGTTAGATGGGAGCCTTAGGGGGCAGTGAGTTTATGTTAATGGGAGGGGGAACAACTCAGAAAAGGAGGATGAGAGTGGTTGCACACTTCGAAGAATTTAATCAATGTCACTGAACTGTACATGTAGAAACTGTTGAATTGGTCTATGTTTTGCTGTGTGTGGAGCCCTGGTTGCACAGTGGTTAAGAGCTTGGCTGTTAACCAAAAGGTTGGCAGTTCAAATCTACCAGCCACTCCTTGGAAACCCTATGGGGCAGTTCTACTCTGTCCTATAGGATCGCTATGAGTCGGAATCAACTCGAGGGCAACGGCTTTGGGTTTTTTTGGAAGGGAGGGTTGCTGTGTATATTTTCAACAACAAAATAAATAAAATAAAAAATAAAGTACTTAAGAGTCACTGTGGTACTCGTTAAAGATATAGATCCCTTATGTCCTGACCTTCAGGCTTTTAATTTAGTAAAACTGGGCTAATCTACAGATACAGTCACCCCCAGTGACCACACTTGGTGAAAACGGATGCAGTCAGTCTCAAACTCAAATGTCCATACAGATCACGCTGGGATCCTGTTACCCTACAGATACAAGTTCCATAGGTCTGGGATAAGGCCTGAGACTCAGCATTTCTAGCAAGCTCCCAGGTGATGCTTTAGAAACTAATTTTGCTGCTGTATCTACCTCAAGTACCGTTGCATTCCCTTCTGCAGCAAACTTGCTACCTTTTTGGTTTTGACTGTATACATTTGGGCTAAGTTGTAACCTTTCCTATGAAACTTACTTGCTCATCTTGCTTATCTTGCCCTTTTTATTCTTATTTTCTTTTAACATACGTAGATGAGCACCAGTTGCATCTTGAAGTCCCATCAGATGTAACAGAAGTTCCAGAGCCCAAGACAGCAAACAGTTTCCCCAGGACAGCCAGACATCCTCGCTCCCAAGAACTGAGGACCATGGAGCTCTCAGACAGTGACCGTCCAGTCAGCTTCGGCTCCACGTCTTCCTCAGCCTCTTCCCGGGACAGCCATGGTTCCTTCGGCAGCAGGATGACCTTGGTTTCAAATAGCCACCTGGGCTTGTTTAACCACGACAAGGAGGCCGGGGCCATCAGACTGGAGCTGGTTCCAGCCAGGCCGTTCTCCAGCAGTGAGCTGCAGAGGGCTGACTCAGCCGAGCAGCAGGGCACGGAGGGGAGCGGAGAGAGGCAGCTGTGGGCACAGCGGAGAGTGGAAGCCAATGGAGCCACCAAAGCCAGTGCAGAATCCACCTCGAGCCCCAAGCTTCTCTATGTGGATCGAGTGGTGCAGGAAATTCTGGAGACGGAAAGGACGTATGTGCAGGATTTAAAAAGCATTGTAGAGGTAAGACTGACTTTTTGTCTTTAAGGTTTGTCACACAGGATAAAGATGCTTGCAGAATAAACAAAGAGCAAAGCCAGGTGTTGGAGGTGTATTGTATCCAAAAATGCAGAAGTGGTGTTTATGTTTAAACAGATCATATGGTAACTTAAGAGAAACCCCAGGGCCGCCCTCACTGCGGTGTTGTTAGTTGCCATGGAGTTGGCTCTGACCCGTGGTGACCTCATGTATACCAGAGGGAAACGTTGCCCAGTCCTGCACCATCTTCACAATCGTTGGTGTGTTTGAGTCCATTGTTGTGGCTGTTGTGTCAGTCCATCTCATTGAGGGTTTCCCTTGTTTTCACTGATCTTTACCGACCATCATGTCCTTTTCTAGCAGTGCATCTTTCCTAGTGAAGTGTCCGAAGTAAGCGAGCTGAAGTCTCATCATCCTCGCTTCTGTGGAGCATTCTGGTTGTATTACTTCTAAGACTGATTTGTTCGTTCTTTTGGCAGTCCACAGCATATTCATTGTTTGCATTAATAATTTGATTACGTGTTTAGAAGCAGGAATGATGATTAAAAAAACAGTTACTGTGAGTCAATTCCGACTCATAGCAACTCTATTGTGTGTCAGAGTAGAACTGTGCTCCACAGGGTTTCCAGTGTCTGATTTTTCCTAAGTGTATCATCAGGCCTTTCTTCCAAGGTGCCTCTGGGTGAACTTGAACCTCCAACCTTTCAGTTAGCAGCTGAGCACGTTAACCTTTTGCACCACCCACGGACTCCAAGAATGGCAGCACGCGCGCTCACATGAGTATTTTGTGTTAATAATTGTTCAGCAGAGGATCTCAGAGTGCCTCACAGACAGTGTAAGCTGAGGATGGAGTAGGACTCCCAGACTCCTGACTTACAGGTGTCAGGTGTCTCCTGACTGAACCCATCAGGCTGTCCTCACCTTGATCACAACTCTGCTGTTATTTGCACACTGAAGTCTTGTGGGTAGCTTCAAAAATTACTGAGCCCCGTATCCACCCCCAGAGACGGAGTTAATTGGTCTGGGGTGCGGAGTGGGCGTTGGAATTTTAAAAGATTCCCAGGTGAGTCTGAGGTGCAGCAAGTCTGGGAACCTCGGTTCTGTGCTGTTTTCTGCACTGGTTGGTGTTTGGGGGAGAGAGGTGAAGGGTAGGGAAACAACTGTGGGCTTTTCTTGGACGTTTACTCTCTGTTTACTTTTATAGTAAACAGTTTTGCATATTTAACTCCGTGTAAATTGAGCTCAGCTTGTGTGCCAGACCACATACTCTGGAGACTCAGTGATTAATTTGCCTTTGATTTATAAGTATGTTTTTAAGGATAGATTAAGAATTACCAGAGAAGCTTAGATGTTAATGCATCCTTAATATATGATTTAAAATATTAATACTTCAAGTGCAAATTTATATATTATAAAGCTATATATTATTGTTGTATATAGCTTTATTTTAAAGAGCTTTCCTGCTTAGTAATATACTGCCAAATTCTTTCCTATGTTAGTACCTACTTCCTGTTTGGACTTTTAATCAAAAATGTGTTTCAGAGTGGAATACGGTATTTGCTGATGAGTACAGTCTCCACTAAATACATACATTTTACAGCTTTAGGGAAAAAAAAAAATCTAAAGGGTTATTGTGTGCTGTGAGTTCCAGAAACGATAGAACCAGACGTGGTGTACTAAAAATAGTTATGACATAACCTCCCAGTAAAAATAGAAAAGTCAATTGATGCTCAAACAAAACAATATGTGGTACCAAATGTAGAACAAACCAGCCAATTTTTTTTTTTTTTTTAATTTCAACAATGATGTCATTTGTACTTGAGAAGAAATACCTGTGAACCTGCCAAAAATTTTACAACCTCTCAGGAAACTTATGGTTGCCAAAGCTTTCTTTGGTCTATGCTTTTTTTCGTTCTTTCTTTCATGGAAGCTTTTTCGCCTAATCAAAACTCACCACACTAGAGAGAAACCTTTAGTTACTGAACTGGTGTTCCGCGAACACCGTTTTTTCCCCGAGGCTGTTTGATAAACCTTGGGTAGGAAGACATAAAGCCAGGTATGAATGAAAGAAATCAGATAAAGATAGAATATTTTTTTCTACGAAAGTTTCGATGTAAGTTCTATTCGAAGCTGTCCAAATATCCTTGGCTTTTTTCTTTACTCATGAATTAAATACATAAGGTCGCCGTGAATCAGAGCTGACTCTGCGGCAGCTAACAACAGCAAGCCATGTTTTACCCTAGGAGTCGGTGAACTTCTTTGCAAAGGGCCAGATAGTATATATGGTAGGCTTTCGGGCCCTCAGGTCTCTGTCACAACTCAACTCTGCCTATGTAGCTTAAAAGCAGCCCTGGACAATGGATACATAAATAAACGGGAGTGGCTGTGTTCCAGTAAAACTTTACGGCCACAGTCTCCTGACTCCTGTTTTAAGACTATAAAATTGTGCTTAAGTTTCATCAGCTGTAAAATAAAACTAATAAAAGAGTACCTGCCTCATAGAGTTATTATGAGAGTTAAATTTGATTAGGTATCAAAAGGAGTGCTTGGGTGGTGCGAACTGTTAACGCACTCGGCTGCTAGCTGAAAGCTCAGGTTTCGATTTTATTTTAGGATTTGTAAACAGCAACATTTTTGTGGAACATCACTGATATCTGCATTAAATTATCAGACATTGACACAAGGATGATTTGGCATGTTTGACATGGTCCAAATATCACAGTACCTTATTTCTAAGAAGAGATCCTTCTAATCTCCTTGGGCAATAGGATTCACAGATGTTGGTTACATTTGCAAAGAAAGTTATATGCCTTTCATTCCCAAGTATAGAGGAATGTTATTAAAATTATCCTGACCACGTAGGGTTTTTTTTTTTCCCTTCTCCATGCCATTTTTCTCAGTTAGAAATGAACCCCTAATGCTTTCTGAAATTTTAACTAAAAGCTACTGTCATTCTTGTTCCTATTGCTCTTCGTTCCTTGCATTCCCCCTCTGACCCTTTTCTCTGGGTCCCCCACCCCCATCATGACTACTCCATCCTCTGCTCCTTTGCCCAACATCCTAGGCGTTTACTTTTGTACACTTGACATTTTAGAGAGAGATGGAAGTCTTGACTATCACCCATACTCAAAGGAACAATGGGGCTATTATTTCCATTTCTATATATGGCTACAAACAGTTTTCACAGTTAAGATGAGATAATAAATACGAAAGCAGTTTTTAAGAGTTAAAAGTAAAATGGCCAATGTTATAATTCGTGGAGAGATAAAAATGCATAGTTGGAGAGTAGAAAATAAGGATCTTTTTTATGTTTGATGGAACCTTAGATTGACTGAGCAGGGACTCTTCATGGGTAGAGTGGGTTTCTTCAATCTTCCTAAATGATCTGTAAAAGAGCCTTTGATGACCTCGTAAGGTTGGCTCCAGCTATAGTTCATGGCCTGTTTTAATCTTTGTGGAAAGTTTTTAAGTAGTTCATAATGCACTATAATGCTATGTAATTAGAATTTACAGCTCTACTACAAACTGGCATCTTTGAACTATAAGAGATGCTAAATTGAACCATCTTTCGGGATGCTGAAGACGTGTATGTATGTTAAGTATAACGTATGATGTTATTTTTTCTATCTTGTGCCAGAGAGCTAAAATCCTTTCCAAGCACCTTTATCCATATCAAAACCCAAAAAACTAACCCATTGCCATCAAGTCGATTTCAACTCATAGCAACCCTACAGCACAGAGTAGAACTGCCCCATAGGGTTTCTAAGGAGCAGCTGGTGGAGTTGAACTGCTGACCTTTTGGATAGCAGCTGAGCTCTTAACCCCTGCATCACCAGGGCTCCTGTACCTATATGGTGTGTTAAAAAGCAAAGAAGTGAATATATAGCCTTAATGTTTAAAGTGTAAAGAGCTACCATCTAAGATGCATCAATTGGTCTCAACCCACCTTGAGTAAAGGAGAATGAAGAACACCAAAGTCACAAGGAAAGTATTAGCCCAAGAGACAGAAAGGGCCACATAAACCAGAGACTGCATCAGCCTGAGACAAAAAACTGGATGGCGCCTGGCTACTACCAGCGGCTGCCCTGACAGGGAACACAACAGAGAGTCCCTGATAGAGCAAGAGAAAAGTGGGGTGCAGAATTCAAATTCTAGTAAAAAGACCAGACTTAATGGTCTGACTGAGACCCCAGAAAGCATGGCCCCCGGACTCTCTGTCAACCCAGAACTAAAACTATTCCCAAGGCCACCTCTTCAGACAAAGACTATACTGGACTATGGGACATAAAATGATAATCGTGAAGAGTGTGCTTCTTAGCTCAAGTAGATACATGAGACTAAACGGGCAGCTCCTGTCCAGAGGCGAGATCAGAAGGCAGAGAGGGTCAGGAGCTGGTTGAATGGACACGGGAAATCAAGGGTAGAAAGGAAGAGTGTGCTGTCCCAGTATAGTGAGAGCAGTTAGGGTCACATAACAATGTATAAATTTTTGTATGAGAGACTAACTTGAGTTGTAAACTTTCACTTAAAGTACAGCAATAAAATTTTAAAAAAAAAAAAGTGTTAAGAGCCAAAGCCATTATACTGCGTGATTGTATAGATAGTGTATAGAGAGTGGCAGGGTAGGTGGAAAAGAGTCCCTGGGTGGCACAAACGGTTAAACACTTAACTGCTAACTGAAAGGTTGGTGGTTGGAACCCACCCAGAGGCACCTCGGAAGAAAGCCCCAGCAATCTGCTTCCGAAAGGTCACAGCCTTTAAAATCCCTGTGGAGAGCAGTTCTACTCTGCACATGTGGGGTTGCCATGAGTCGGAATCAACTCAGTGGCAACTGGTTTGGTTTCTTTTGGTTTAGTGACTTCAAACACATTGAGAGCAATTCTGTTCCATTGCAACTGTTTAGAGAAGAGGTTATTCTTAGTACTGGTGGGATCAAATTAGTTGGAAGGAGAACTATCTTACACATGGGAAGCAGGCCCTCTCCG